TTGTCCACTCAGCTGGGTATGGTAGCACATGCCCATAATCCCAGCATACTGGGAGGCTGAGGCACGAGGATTGCAAATTCAAGTCCAACCTTGGCAACTTAATGAGATTCTGTCTCAAAATTAAAAAAGGCTGGAATGTTGCTCAGTGTGAAGGCCCCGAGTTCAGTCCCTAGTATCACGAAAAAAAGTCTCATCCTCTCCTTTTTATTTTGGACAGCAGTGCAGAGAGGCTGGCTTTATTGTCCTCATCTCTGCTCACGCTATTCATTTGCATCCTTGCAGGCTGTAGCCTAGTCCTGTTCATTCACTCCATTATCTGAGTTTCTCTCAGTTCTTGTTCCTAATGCCACCTTCACTCCTGCCCCCAAACATGGCCTTGCTCTCTTTTAAACTCCAGTGGAATATCCAAGATGAGCAGGCAGGAACTTAATAAAACACACTGGTTTTCAAGTCCATGCCACCATATGTGCATCAGATCTCTTTTTAAGGTAGTAGCTTTGTCATTTTTAAAACCTTACATATTACTCCTTTAAATGGATCATCTTTTGGGAAAACACATTTGAAGTTGATGGTTTGATCACATGCAATCTTTTCTGGAATGTCAGGGCTCTTTGACAATAATTCAGCAAAGGCTCTGCCTTTGTGAAGCCCAGATTTGTGGTATCTGACACAGTGCACCTGAAGCCTGACTGCTTGGCTGAGAAACTCAGTTTTTCATTTTATCCAGTCATCAGCATGATAGTGCAACGCCAGCCTCAGAGCCATGAAAGATCCAAAAGGAAGGAGAAAGGTGCAGGGCCAGCCGGGATCCTTGGGAGGTCAGGGGCATGTTCCACCTGCAGGGCTGTGTCAGTTGATGAGTGAAGAAGGCTCAGTGAAAATTCCGGGCTTCAGACCCACCATCGCCAAAAGATGAGGATTAGATCTGCTTGCTGAAGCTAAGCAGACAGATCTTTTCTAGACTGGAGGAAACAGTACTCATTTAACTTGATAGGTGAATTTGAAGATTAAAACTTTTGATCAAGTTTAATCTTAGAATGTCAAGGGACCCTTGGCATGTTAAATTCTTAGATTTTTGGTAAACCTTTTTTCCCTTTTCCTTTTGCTTTTTGAGTCAGGGTCTCACTGTGTAGCCCAGGCCATCCTCATCTCCTGATCCTTCCACCCCAGCCTGTGAGAGCAGGATCAAAGGGTGCGGCCCGCGCCCGGTTTGTATGGATCTGTTTCCTGAGGCTTTGAATAATTTATGAGAAAGTGATATTGGGCCATTCAGGGGCCCCGTGTCTCTGGCTTTTGGAAGAAAACTTAATCACACATTGATGCCCCGTAGATAAAAGATGAGTTTTAAAATCTGAAGCTTAAAGCTGGCCATGGTCGACCAGCACTATGGGAGGATGAGGCAGGAGGATTGCAAGTTGGAGCCTGGCCTGGGCGATTTAGAGACTTCAGGGGATGGGGGAGTACCTGTCTGAAAATGAAACGCAGAGAAGGCCTGAAGATGTAGCTCAGTGTGAAAGCCTTGGGTTTCATTCCCAGTATCACCCCCCTAAAAAATTTTGAAGCTTAAATGTTCAGAAAAACAGACACAAACTATATATACTAATGTGTTTTCCAACATTATTAACCTAATGTAATAGAGCTCTTAAAAGACTATCATGGATAACTAGAAACATAATAGTTATTGTCCTATATACATGACACTTTAAATTTTATTTTTCAGTACTCAAACATTTTGAATGTTGATGGCTTTGAAATTCCTTTACTAAATGATATATTTTTTCTAGTGGCTAGCCACATGTACTATCATGTCCCATTATGAAGGTATTCAAGGAAGTTGCTTAGAGAGCATAAAATTGAGTAGTAGTAAGGATTTTACCCAGCCGTGCACCTTGGGACCATAATATTAAGTGAAATAAATTAAGACATAAAGCTTTCATTGCACCGTTTCTCTTATATGAGAAACCCAGTATAGCCAGGCATGGTGCACCCCTGTAACCCCAGCACTTGGGAGGCTGAGGCAGTAAGATTGCCGTAAGTACAAAGCCATCCTGAACTACATAGCAAAGACGGTGTCTCCAAACAAAAAAACTTCAAAGTATAAATACAGTAAAATAAAAGCTAGACATAAACAGGGAGATAGAGCTTTTGCAAATGTGAAGGGCATCTAGAAATGGAGGGAGGGAGGAGAAGGGGAAGTAAGAGCTTTATCTAGCTGGAAGAAGCTTGTTACCCCTGACCCACACCTAGTGACCAGTCTTGAGAGATTCCCATAGATCCTCAGGAACACTTTTTTGAAGGGTTGGAATAGAGATACAAACTCAGGCCTCTACTGGTCATGGTATGCAAGTTCTCTACCACTGCGCCAGACCTGCAGCTCAAGCCTTTTTTGAACAAAACCACAAAGGTTTTGAAATATGATCTGCAGTTTCACCTTGTTTAAAGTAGAATTTGAACAATTTGCCAATCTTTTATTGGACTGCTTCCTTGTTTCCAGACTTTCTTGGCCCACCTTTAATAATCTTTGCAGACTCCTTGATACATCTCTTTTTGCTTCATGTCATCACCAATTCTGAGTAATTACAAACCAAGTACAACTAGTAGCCTTTGGGAGCAAGGCTACTTCTAGGGAAGTGCATCCAAGTCAGTAGGTTGAGAACAGCACTAGTAATGGCCTACACCGTGTGCCTCAGCTAGTGTCTAGGTGATTAATATTCCGCGTTAGGCCCCCAAGGATAGGCGTTTCTCAAGCAGGTCCAGCCGCAGGCCCCAGACTCAGCATGCCTGCCAAGGAAGTAACGCATTGGAAAGCACCAAGGAACGAAATCCATTAGTTACAACCAGTACAGAAACCTACATCTTCTGATACTTGCTAGATTTGCTTAACTCTCTCACTTTAGTTTCTAATTTTGACACTTAACACATTCATGATGAAGCTGTAATTTGTATGTCTTGCTGCCAGGCGGCTCTGAACCACCGGCAGCACATGCATGACTGTCCCATCCAGCAGCATGGGATGTTCCCATGGGGCAAGAACAAGCTGCCTGGTGGGGCAGTCATGTATGTGCCACCAGTGGTTCAAACCAGTGGGAACGTGTTAAGCCCTGTTTGCCAATACTTAAACCTTACGTTAAGGCTTAAGTTTACATTTTGTTTTACTGAAATTTCATTACATTTCACTTTACCAGTATTGTTCTATTTGGACTTACTCATATCCCCAAAGACAGCCTTAATATTTCAATGAATGCCTTCTCAACTATTAATTTACAGTGCTGTCTCTGGATTTGCCACTGCTCTGTGCCAACTTGCTTGAAGGTTTTGAAGCAAGAGTCCTGTCCAGGCCCAGGATTAGAGAAGCAATGCTAGCCAGCCAGCCCCTTGAATAGAACTCAGTCCTGCTCTGAAGCAGACCTGTGTTCATAGGAAAGGTGTCCCATTTTTTTTTTTTGGTACTGGGCGTCAAACTCAGGACGTTACACTTGCCAGGCAGGCGCATTGCCACCGAGCTACATCCCCGGCCCTGTGTGCTGCTTTTTTTTTTATTGAATGAGGGATTATGTTTATGAATAGGTGTTCTCTTATCCTCCACTCAGCCTTCTGTTGCGGGGAAGGGGGCTCCTGAACTGCTGTCAGTCAGTTTTGCAATCAGGAAGGCTGAGCTATTTACCACCGGTTCCTCTAGAAGTAGGGAGGAAGCTGGGAGGTAGAATGCTGGCATGCATGTCAGGAAAACCACACCAATCCTGGAGATGAAACTTTGTGCTAATAATGGTGTATATTTCCAGGGAGAGCGGTTTAAATTTACTTGAAGGCAGTTTATGAAAATTTACTTGATAATCCACCACTTTTGCTCAAATTGGTTAAGACATCTGTTACCTTCATAATCACAGCACTTTTCATTTATAAGATAGATACGTTTCAGGTACTATTAAATAGTTAACATCTAGGATACTTGTCTGTGATAATACATTGGAGGATTTTTGTTGTTTTTAAGGATTTGTATACTACAGGCTTACCCCTGTTGTCCATCAGAGGGCCCGTAGGCTTCTGTAAATGGTCGGCTAAGTATTTTAGGTTCTGCAGGCCACATTATCTCTCAGCACAACAGCAGCCAGATAACATGTGAAAGTGAATGCATGCGACTAGATTTAAACAATTTTACCTATGGTTGCTGAAACTTGAATGTTAAATAATTTAAAAGTATGAAACCTACCTTCGTAGTTCATAGACTGTACCAAAGCAGGTGTGCGCTGTACGTTGCCAGCCCCATTCTACATTGTAAGTTACACCTGTCTTATCGGTGAAGCAATGTTTGCTCATTTATATAGGCATCTCTTCCCACCTCATTATTGGCATAAAACTAACCAGCATTCTGTACCAAGTACTGGCTTCACATGCATTTTCCCTATTCCTGTCACACAGCATCTGCTGTCTTCCAAGTACTCTCTCATGTCTTTTAGGTGAGAGAACAGGGTGACCCACCTATAGTCATAAACCCTTATTTGGAAGAATTTATAACTGATCTGACCACAAACTCAGTGCATTCAACCCCAGAGCTAAAAAAAAAATACCTATGCTTTTAGCCTTTGTTGATATCCAAGAAAGTTGTACTAATTGAGTCTAGGCACAGAATGATTTAGAGGTGTGCCATGTTAATGTTGAATTCTGATTTTAGCCTTTTTATTTGGAGACAGTATCTTGCTGTATATTCCAGGGTGGCCTCGAACTCACTATGTAGCCCAGGCTGGCCTCAAACTCTGGGCCGTCATCCTCTCTCAGCCTCCCTGGTGCCAGGGTTACAGGCATGTCCCACCACGCCCCGCTGGGTTTAGACTTTGTGTTCACAGTGTTCCCCAGGTGCTTCTTTGTGATACAACCTGTACCCTTAGTACTTTTAATGAAACTGAAGGATTAAAGCGGCACGAGCTCTAGCCCCACAGACGTGAGAATGCCGGTATTATAGTGCTTCTGAGGCTGAGAACATTGCTGTGTGGGTCTTGCAGGTGCTGCTGGTGAGTAGCAGTCGCTACCCAGACCAGTGGATTGTCCCCGGAGGAGGAATGGAGCCTGAGGAGGAGCCGGGCGGTGCGGCTGAGAGGGAAGTTTATGAGGAGGTGAGGGACTTTGCTGTGTAATACTGTGCCGAGGGGAGGGCAAGAGGACCGCAGGTCACAGCAGTGCTTTCATGGCGGTCCCACCCAACATTTTAGGCAGGTGACCATAGCTAGCATCTGGCTAAACAAATATTTTAACCTGGTGAAATACATAGAGCTAAAATCAGTGTGGGAGTCTCTCAAAATTGTATTAGCACCTAAGTTCCTGTTGGTCAGACTTGTTTGAGTGACCAGTGTATAACCTGATGGCCTTGCTGTGGACAGGATTACACAGACATTAATCATGTGCTATAATTATTTCTCAAACGAAGAAGAAGCAAAAGGCTTCTGTTTTATCCTTTATTGTAAAGTTCAGTAAATGTGGCACATCGTCATGCACAAAAACACACAGGACCTAATCCACTAATTTTCTTTCACCTGACAGCAGGATTCATTTTCACTCAGAGGCACAAAATATAAGTGAGCAGCAGTGCCGGTCCCCATGGGAAGGGAATGCTTACAGAACAGTCTATTCTTAAAGAAAAGCCTTTTTCATTCATGAAGTTTGGCCCATATTGGTAGTCTAATTCTGTTAGATCTTGCCAATTAAGCCATTGTAGCAAACCAAAGCCAGTAGTCTTCACAAAAGCTGGAAGATAGTGACCTGGTTCAGGAGGGTCTGCTGTGTTTAGATTTAAAAATTGAAAGAGCCAGAATACAATTTGTAAAAGTGTCCTTATCATGAAAAGATAAATACTTTGCATCTTATTTTTTTTAACAGGCAGGAGTCAGAGGAAAATTGGGCAGGCTCCTGGGAATATTTGAGGTGAGTTACAAAATTAATGATGTCTTCTAAAATAACAGCAAAACTGCCAGTAGGCAAGTCAGGCACAGGATCAAGAAAGGGAGGTGAGTAAAAGCCATTGGACCTTGGCGTATACCATCAGTGTCACACACGACTGTGGTGGTGACCACTTGTTTGCCGTGCAGTGGAGCAACACAGAAAGCTCACTCTCAGAACATTGTGCATAGACTTGAGGGAGGTGCAGCATTGTTGGAGCCACATAACGATTGGGTTGCTTGTGGATTCTCTGGATATACATACCCCCATCGCCTTCACACGTAACATTAGACAACATAACGACTATCCCTGAACGGGACTGTAGGAAGACACGAAAATCAGGTTCAGCCAAGGCAAGGTGGCACGTGTCTGCGACCCCAGCATTTATGAGGCTGAGGTAGGAGGATCACAGCCACTCGAAGGCCAGTGTGAACTACATAGCCAGACCTTGTCTTAAAAAAAAAAAAAAAAATCATAGGGCCGGGGATTTAGCTCAGTGGTTCCCCCGCCTGCCTCGCAAGCACAAGGACCGACCCGAGTTCGATCCCCGGTACAAAAAAAAAATCAGAAAAGATGGTGAAAGAATAGAATTCTCTTACATATAATCTATTTATTACTGATGGCAAAATGGAATTTTCAGAGCGGGAATTTGAAAATGTTAGGCGCTCCATGGAAGGCAGACAAGAAAAGGTCAGGTTCCAAAACTTTGGAATATATGTTTCAGACCTGGGTATAGACTGTCAGGATATGGGTGCTTCATTTACTTTTTTCAAGATAATGTTAAGGGTTAACTCAGTCTTCTTGGTAAGAGCCACACACATTTTTAAAAATCCCAGTCGTACAGCACTTGCTGACTGTAACCAGAATACAGTAGTTATTACAGCAGTGAGGTTTTTGAGGCATACTCACACTTTTCCAAAATTCAGTACTCGTTTTACCCAGTTCCATAGCACCATCTTCTGGTTAAACTGAAAACCGTTGAGATTTTTCTGTGATTCAAATGATACATTTGTCACTGTGGTGACAAGGTCTTTGAGGAGAACTCATCATAAGGCTTTTAATATTTGGAGGTAACTATTGTTTCACAAATACTATTTTCTGGAGAGGGGAGGGTTCAGACAGGGATCTGGACTATGGCCCTGAACTCACTGTGAGCCCAGGCTGGCCTCGAACTCCTAGTGATCCTCCTGCCTCAGCCTCCAAATAAGTGCTAGGATGATAGACATGTGCCACCACACCCAACTCAAAAATACTATTTAACAGAAAATATCAATCAGTATACCTGTCCCCTCAGAAAATGTAAGTGAAAATTAGAATCACACTGCTCCTTTACCCCAGTGGTTGTAATGAATTTGTGAGTGCACTACAATAAACACATTGATTTGCTAGACATAGAAAATTGACTTAAAAATAATGAAAAAGAAAATGTACGTAACAGATGCCTCTGTTTTATTGCTCTTCTTATTCCTTCCCAAAACCTTAACACGATTTGAGTAGATTACTCACGTTATTTGTAGCAAAAAAAAAAAGCAGCTACCTTCAAGCCTTATCCTACAGCAGGTGACTAAATTTAATCAGGATAAAGGTGGACCCCTTTGTCTGAAGGCCAGCTTATGTTCCACTGGGCATGGTGGTGCATGCCTGTAATTCCAGCAGTTGAGAAGCCGAGGCAGGCAGATTGTTGTGTTTTAGGGCAGCCTGAACTACATAGCGAGACCATTTCAAAACAAAAACACTAAGCCTGTTACAGTATTCACAGCCCAGGCTATGCATGCTTCATTTGAAAACAAAATAATTAGCACTTTAGACTTCATCCCTAACTAAGTGAATTGGTATGAGAAAGAGAAAGCCATTCTGAGTAATCTAGTAAAGGCCAAGGCATGGCCCTGGTCTAGGGTAGCCGCCTGTATTTTATGTGCATCTTGATAACCCACCAGTGCTGTAACGGGACTGGGAGTGTTTGCTCTGCACAGGTCCCACAAGGGAAGCAGCTTTTCACAGCATAGAAAGATTGTTATGAAAAGCCACAGGGAATAGAACCTAGGACAAAAACGTATAGGAATACAGTCCTTTTACTACAGATTTCATTCAGATGTTAAGATTTTCTTTATAAAAATAAAACTGAATATACATAAATCACAATTTTACAAGTTTATTATTGGGAGCTAATTTCACTGTTGGAGGTAAGGCTGCAGGTCCTGTCTTGGTGTTTATCTGTTGGTACAGGCTCTGTTCTGGGCGGGACTGTGACTGTGTACTTTGCCACGGGGAAACAAGCACAGCACGCTGCTCAGCTCCCCTCCCCCCCATACATCTGTGGCTCGCACCTGTAGATTAAAATGCTTTTCTTTTTCCTTTTTATATTCAAGCAGAACCAAGACCGAAAGCACAGGACATATGTTTATGTTCTTACAGTCACTGAAATATTAGAAGATTGGGAAGATTCTGTGAATATAGGTAAAATTTTTTTGCTATCTGAATCCTCGTATGAAGTCATTATTTATTGTATCCAGTTTCTAAAACTTTTGGTTACTTGTTTTAGAGTATGTTTAAGCCGTTTCTAAAAGAACCAAATACTACTTTGGGGGGAAGTGTCAGTAGATCTCGACTGCTTGTTTAAATTGCCTTTAATAGTAACCATTGCCCTACTGTTCTCTAGGAAGGAAGAGAGAGTGGTTCAAAGTAGAAGATGCAATCAAAGTGCTCCAGTGCCATAAGCCCGTACATGCAGAGTACCTGGAAAAATTAAAGCTGGGTTGTTCCCCAACCAATGGAAATTCCACGGTCCCCTCCCTTCCTGATAACAACGCCTTGTTTGTGACCGCCGCACAGAGCCCGGGGCTGCCTTCCAGTGTGAGATAAGCCGAACTGGGGGACCTCCCCACTGCACCCCAGCTCCCTCTCAGAGAGGCTTCCGCAATGCCCTTGGCAAACATCTGAATGATGCTCGCAGACTGTCTGAATTTGTCATGCAGGGATTTCAAACAATTTGCATGTTTTTCAGATGCTTTCAGATCTTCTTTTAAAAAATAGTGTAAAATATTTTAATAAGCCAAAGCCATGTGGAATTTTTTTTAGATGCCTTAACATGCCCCTTTCCCAGTGTTATCTTGGTTGTCGTTTTTTTCCACAGCATTTTCAGTTTTTCTTGTCCATATAAGCAGTGTTGCTTATTTTGTCAGATCAAATTACATAATGGGTATATTCCTCTTAAATTGTTTCTCATTTGTAGCACTAACTTACTCACCAAATTTATGGTTGGAATTAAAAAATATTTTTGGTATTAAAATCCATCCATCCCAGAACTTACTTCATGGGATCATGATTTTAATTCATAAATTGCACATTCAGGCTATTTCATTATGGTCCTCTGTTTTGACAAAGAACTCAATAGTAGTTTAAAAATGCAATATAACTATATTGAGTTAATTTTTAGAGAAATATTGTTAGCAAAATGCATGTAGTACATTGTCATGAAACTTGTATTTCATGGAATTTATTTAGCATGCTCAGTTGCCAATTCTTTCATCTATAATCTCTCCTTACGTAGAGTATGTTAGAACCATATTTCCCTCAGTGTAAATTGCTCTTAAAACTTAGTTTCAGTTTAATTTAGTGACATTTCTTCAGTTAAACTTGTTTACCAAAAGCCACAGGATGGGCATCAAACCTTCAGTGCCAGTCAGTGATGGCTGCATCCCAGTGGAGGCCCATGGCCTTCTTTCTGGCCATTCAGCTGTTGCAGGCTTAGGGCATTAGGGAACCTTTGAATGTCTCATCTTTCCTCGGCTGTCAGTACTCTGTCACCTAGCCTTTGGGGCACTGGAAAGTAATTGAGAATGATCTTGTCTTGCATTTGTCTTCATACTCAGAATCAGGCATCCTAATCTAAAGTGTACATGCTTACCCTGCCTGAAACTCCCACACTTCCCAACTGAGGTCAAGAGATGAGGGAGGAGGAAAAAACCTTTAAGATGTGGAGTTGGGAGAATGAAAATTTTTTTATGTAGACATTCGTCTTTTGTAAATATTACAGCTGGTGAGTACAAAGTAGAAGTTAAAACATTTGCTCTATAAATTGTAACCTTTAGAGATATAATTGCTGCTAAAAATAGTCCTTACACTTAAGGAAAATTGGTGCCATTTTGAAAATGAGATCTTGTGTCATAAATGCAGCTGAATTAAATACATATGCTAGTTCACAAATTAATGCTGTCAAAGGAGTTAAGTAGAGACACTTTCAACCAGTACTGTTCCATTCTAAATTATGCAGTGTGATCAGACATGGGCATCCAGAATTTTTATATTCTTCTTTGTACAGAGGTTATGTATTCTGGGTGTTTTTTAAAAAAAAGGAAAATTTTAAATCCCACAAATCAACATTTTCTACCAGTCACCAATGGACTAAGATTTTCTCAGTAATCTCTGAAATTTCTTTAAATTATATACTTAAAAGAGAAACTGGATTGTTTTTGTATATAAGGCTGCTTCCACTTGAAATGGCTGTCACAAGAACTTAGGGGGATTTCTCTTGTACATGATATATTCTTAGAGGTAACAATGCATGAACTTATTTTATAAACTTGGACTACGTATTTGACATGTAAAAATGTACAGTTTGTCAGCCATCTCTTAAGTTAGACTATAAATATTGTACAATTTTCTTTGGTCAGAAACATTTGAACTAAGTAGTGCTACTTGGGTCAGGATTTCCTTCAGTGCCATTTATTTAGCAAACCCAACTGTTGTTAGGCTGTGCAATTAGCAAAAATATGTATGCTCCAACAGCATAGTTTTCACATGAGGGTTCTTCTGGAACCTAGTCTTGCAAAGTTAGAGGGGAAAGTCCTAAGGAAGTTAAGAGAAAAAGCCAACACTTTCAGGCCTAAATAGTTGAATCTATTAAAGATAAATAATGTCTACTATCTCAAGTCTGAAGTTTACTGTGTTGATACTGTCCTTTGCGCTTATTTGTGGGGCAGCTGAGTAAAATTGGGCGGCTAAATTTCAGTTCCATGTGCCCCTATATAAACAAAGTAAGCAGTTACTATAAATTGATTCACAGACAAAGTAGGAACTGCCCTGCATGTTTTTGTAAAGAGAGGTCATTTTCCAACCAAGCACAGGACATCCAGTTTTCTGTCAGTCATACCATAGTATAATAAAGCAGAAAAACTTATGGGGAGAAATGGTGGTTGTATAGAATGAGTTGCTTTGCATGGTCTCATGTGAGATAACTGGTGTAAGAATCTTGACTTTTTTTATATTTGGAAACAAATAAAAATGGAAACACAATCTTTTGGTTTTCTTTTTAGACAGACTTATACCATCAGCTTTCTTACTATGCTCAGGGCAAGGTACTTCCTTTTGACTATGCATTGCTTCTCAACCACACATCCATACTGTTCCCTCATCAAGGGTGGATGCACATTTCACTTTGGGTCCTTACCTTGCCAAATTACTGGGTTTAAACCTTTGGGTGTTGGCACCAGGTTTCTAATCATTTAGGGTTAAGGTTTAATTAGGGATTGTTAATTTGGAGGTTTGGTTCCGTGTGGCACATTCTCCACATCTCAGTAATTCTCTACAGGTCTCATCTTTAAACACAACTTTGTAGACAAATTCAAACCTGTGTAATCAAAAACTGTTTTAAAGCATAACTTTATGAATTGTTTATAGGTACAGTGTCACTGTGTAGTTGATTGTAAGATTCTTTCCAGCTTTTCATAAAAATTTCTCCCAATGTTTTCCAGTAGCTGCAGAATACCACACATCTACTTTTGCATAGCACTGGTGAGACAGCACAGAACAAGTTTCCACCCTCAAGGAGCACACATGCTAGTAAGGCAGAGACAATTGACTAATGATGTTTACCTGAGAAGTTCTTAAAATATCTTAAAGGTTTTATCGTTTTATGTAGGCTTATCTTAAACAATGAAATCTTTATTTAAAAGTAGGACTGCCTAGAGGATCAAAGAGACAGAGGAGAAATAGAGGATGAAAAAAGGAATTGAGGTGCTAATTTACATGTACCATTTCCCACTATGGACTGCAGAAATTACTAAGAAAATGTAAGATCGCCCATCAAATGCTTAGCAACATTTAACAGGAGCTGTACAGTAAATCGGACTAAAAGTAACCTCATGACTGCTACTTTGTCTCCCCACTTTTTAATATGCTTTCCTTACCATGCCATTGACTGAATTTAGCAGTTAAAATGTGGAGACCCTCAAGGCCTTGCTTAGCAAGACTTTACAGAGCTAAGACCCAAATATTCAAAGGTACTCTGTGTCATTTGGCCAGGAACCAGTCTTAGAAGTTACTATTGCATTTCCTAACATCTGACAAGCATTTTCAGATAAGTGGAATGCCACCTTTTCTATATCCCACTTCCGTTTGCTTGTCAAACAGCATCAATAAATGCATAGCTTAATGGTTCTCAGTTTTTACTCAAACTTACTCCTTAGTCAAGTTAATGAAATACTTTAGCAACATTTGGCCATCAGTATATTATCAACCTTCAGCACCTTTTGACTAAGTATTATGCAAGGACTTCAACATCTATAGGAATATGCAAACTCATGTACCTAGGTGAGGCACTGGAATGGCAAGCCACAAATAAAATGCCTGGCAGCAAAGGGGTAATGAATGGTTAACTTGCAATATATCCATATAATGGAATATTACAGACATCAATAACAAAAAGTGACATTCCACTAAGAATTTGGGTATGTAAACTTAGAAGAGCCTGACGGAGAACTGAGTAGTAGTAGCTGCCAACATGTAACATGTCCACAGTTGATGTCTTGTTGCTGGACGGCTCTGAACCACTGGTGGTTCGATATGACAGTTTTGCCTGTACCACTGGTGATTCAAGCCAGCGGACATGTTAAGATGTGTATCACACCACCCCTTCAACATTTCCAGTTCTGGGAATCCAGTCAAATATTTGGACAAGTTGGACAACCAAAACATGTTACAGAATTTATAGCATGACTGTCAATTTAATGTACAAATGGGGTAAAGGGATGGCAGAGAACAGGTAATGTCCAGTTTCCAAAGAGGTGCAGCCACACAGAGGGTTCTCAAAATGCCTGAAAAAGGGTGAAGCTATACCCAGCATTATGTTTTGTGCACAACTTGCCTACACTGAAAAATCTTACACTTTTTTTAAAGGAGCTTACACGGTTCACATTTTCTGTAAAAGCCTAGTTTTTTGAATCTTGAGAAGTAATCAATGTAAGGGTCCAATATGCTTATAGGGCCTGATAACTGCTTGCACTGTACATATTCCCAGAATACATTATTAAAGAAAAAGAAAACTACCACAGACCTTTAATCCTTACCACAGTAATGGTGAGTACTGTGCCAGAGTGGGGAGGCATCCTTGGATCTAAAGATAAACATGATTACTGTCAAGGGTAGAAAATACAATCTAACCCATCCTACCACCTATTTTTGTTCCCAGAAGAGTAGAAATTTTTTTATATCTTAGGTATTTTTAAAAATCCTTGATAAATAAAAACAGTTTTGGGAGCAGAGCATGCCCATTTCTTCATACACTGCCTGGGCTGCTTCACTACAATGGCAGAACTAAGTAGCTGGTACAGAACTGTGGCTCACTGGACAAAATACTGTTTTACTAGGAGGAAAAAATGCAAATTGCAAAGTTTGACTCTACCATCTCAGTCAGTGCTACTGCTTCCTGCCCAAACGAGGAAAACAGCATGAAGTTCCAATCTGGTAGGGCTGTGGCTTGGTTGAGCCCACTCAGTGGTAGAATGCATGAAGCATGACATGGGTTTGAGCCTCAACATCAAAAAGAAAAACCAAACTCTGGTACAACCAGACTGCTTTTTTGCCAGGTCCAAGTCTTGAGTAGCCTGTTCTTGAACATACACCAGAAGTCACGTTACAAAGTTATAATGAAATTTAATAGCTGAGACTAATCTAGATTGTTCCCAAAGCAGTCCTATAGTAGGTCAGGATGGTCTAGGGGTATGTAAGGTGAAAATGTGCTGGTAACTCTAGATAGACGGTAGGCACATGAAGTTATTCCAAAGTTTCTAACTTCTGAAACATTTTTTGTTCATGTACAAATGTCTGACAAAGAAATTATCACTTCCTTAAGGAGTAGCACCAGGCCATAAAAATGAGTTTTATAGCCGAGGATTTAGCTCAGTGGCACCAAGCCTGCCTCACCAGTGCAAGGTCCTCAGCTCGATCCCCAGTACCACACACACACACAAGTTTTATAAAACAGTGAGATTTCAACTGCTATGATGCTATTATAAGACAGTAAGTTTACTACTGCTTCTGCAATTAATCAAAAATAAGAAATTGCATGGCCAATTCAGTAGAGGCTCACCTTGGCATCAAGCCTACACTTACACTCTTTAAAGTGCTGCACCAATATGCACACAGAAACTTAGATTAGGGCTGGGGATGTAGCTAAGAAGCACAGTACCTGCCTGGTAAGCTCATGGCCAAGTTCGACTCAAGGGTAGCAAAGATGAAATTGAAGAGAAGGGACAAAACCCAAACTCTTCATATTGGGAAGAAATTTCAGTCCAGCTAGCTTTGAGATTTGCAGCCAAGGTGAATTTGCCCAATTACCGTAAAGCTACAGCAAAGCCAACTCTTAAAAATCATTTCTGGGCCAGGGATTTAACTCTGGTGCTGCCGCCTGCCTTGCACGCGCAAGGTCCCAAGTTCGATCCCCAGTACCAAAAAAAAACAAAGACAAATGGCAACAAACATCATTTCCTAGCTTCAAAGATAAAATGGAAAATGCAGGAGTGTCTAGTTAAGGAAATAGTCAAATATCAACAGTCCAATTGGTATATTACAGATTTTTTTCAAATTACATTCGTTTTGCTTTGTATAAGCAAAATATAAAATATAAAATTTATATTTAAATAAATATATTAAATATATGTATTTTAATTATATATTAAATATATATTTTAATTTAAATAAAATTTAAAATATAAACCCTGATATAACTCCATAAAATAGGCAGCATGCTAAATAGCTAAATTAAATGTTGTTCCCAGCCCCCAAAATACATTATTCAATGAATTACACTGTTCTTAGACTGGTGAATTGTGTGCTCTATTTTTTCATAATTTTTTGGACAGCTTTTCCGGGTAAAGTATTTCTAAACGTTTAGTACTACAGTACGAAAAACTGATGTGGCTAGAGTAGCCAGAAAACATTCCTAACCCATCAAATGGAAGAATATAGCCAATTCCTAGTGTTCCCACAATTCTACTTAGCTAGCTGTATAATGGATAGGACACCAGGTCTCCTTCCCTCTTCCCTTTAAAAAAAAAAAAAAAAATGTGCCAAAGCACAGCACCTGTGGCTCTTTTTTTTTTTTTGGTACCAGAGATCGAACTCGGGACCTTGCACTTGAGAGGCAGAAGCAGCAGAACCACTGAGCTAAATCCCCAGCCCAGCCCTGTGGCTCTTGTATACTGATATATATTTAATCTTAAATGTCTCTTCTGAAATTTATTTTAAAAGTACACTGCTGGTCTAGAGTAAGGTTTGAGTCCTATATACTTCGGGTCTAAGGTCTTATTAGGTGGACTCTGAGAGGACCAAGGATAACTTCTCTGTCAGAGTGGAAACAAATCACACCAAAGTAGACGACAAAACTCAAACCGACACTTTCAGATTGCAGATAAACCCCAACTGTGTGGAGCATTTACAGGAGGCTCAGGTTTCTTCTCACCCAAGGCTTTCCACATGCTGCTGAGGTACTCGTGTGGGTCCCCAGGAGTAGCCTTGTAGTTAGTTCCCTTCTCCATAACAAAGCTGGAACTGTTTGTCTCCTCCCTCATTAGACTGTAAAGTCCCTCACCCTCCTCAACCAGTGGTAGGCAAGCACTAACCATCTGACACCTCGGTTGTCGAACAGCTCCACGCTCAGATTTTTCACTACTCGAAGAGTGAAGTTCAACAAAAATCTGCTCAGTGTTCATAACTTTGCTCAATATTCAAACCAAAAATCCGACATTAAAAAACCTGTTCAGGCCAAGAGCGAGTCAGGTGCCATTTCTTGCCCAGACAACATACAGCACTTATGTTGGTGCCTGAAAACATCTGTCACTGTACTTTTTTTGTTGTTGTTGTTGTGCTTTATTTGCATAAAATATGATAACAATGGCTCCAGAGAAAGTGTGATACCACTTTTGTTTTCCTTTTTCAAAGGAAAACCAAGAATACCAGAGAATTAATGAAATCACTATGAAATTTGTTAAAGCCCCAGAAAAATGAATTTATAAGTGTAATTTTTGGGCCTCAGAACCAATTATTTGGTTTTCCATTATTATGAAAAAAAAACGGATCACTTCTTAAACTTTTAGGTGCTTGTACACAATTTTGCAATGAATGGAGTTTCACAACTGAGGAATCACTGTATTTTTGTCAAATAAATTGCTCCCTTTAGTTTGAGATACAAAAGTTTATGTGGGAACAGGACTACAGAAAGGAGCCAACAAGCTGGGAACGACTCTAGCTAACTGGAGAGGAACTGGGTAAGAGGATGATGGCAAGCCAGAATCCTACAGTGACTATTACTTGGCTCCGCCCAATAGAGGCCAGGCACCAGCTCATTCAAAAGATACAAATCTCTAGCTTTTCATGGCAATCTCTGGAGGTTAAAAAATGCTGGCATCAAATTCAGAATGTTTAACCAACCACTCAGTGCAGGCCAAGGAAACAGGCCCATAGGCCAGATGTAGCTGTCAGTTTTCAACATTTGTCTTGTCCTCTCCTAGATCCCCACAAGGCCCAAGAAAGCTTAGCCATACACGGCCTCCTGCTTCACCCCACCTGTTAGGAAGGCAGGTCTTATCACAGTAGACTCTTATCATCAAAGCTACACAAGGAAAACTGCGATGCCATAAAATTAGAGTGCCTATGAGAAAAATGACTTACTCTCATTTCTGGTCTTCTTTTTACAAAAAGTTTTTTTTTTTCTTTTGGTACCAGGGATCGAACTCGGGACCTCGCTTGCAAGGCAGGCAGGGGAACCACTGAGCTAAATCCCCGGCCCCCCATTTCTGTACTTTTGTAACTTTCAAGCTTACAATATCAGAATCCTACTTTGGACAGATTTAAGAGTGCAATAGATTCAAATATGGAACTTCGTAAGTCACTGTGGTATTAGCTATAACCGCAAGCAGTAAACAATGCTGCTTTCTATGTAATTAATTACCTGAAGTCCTGTGTTCATTTTATAGTATGACATTGTTTTCTTAGCTGTAGTCAAAGATGCCCTGTGCCAAAGAACTGTTGATAACTGCTATAAATACATGGTATTAGGGTTATCAACAATTTTATTCTGAATTTAACATATATTACTAAGCTATATATTTATATTTGGAAGGATACCAGTTACCAGTCACCAGAAACTTTTGTATGTTGAAAATGTAATTTTAATAGATAATTCTTCATCTTACATAGGAGCACAATAAAATACACCACATTCTGAAGAAACTCCAGAAGTTATGAGACTGAAAGTGAAGAAAATCCAGATGGGCTACAATATCCATTACCTTAAACTGTAAGAATCAACGATTCCAACCCAAAGGTTAACATTTACATATTTATGACTGGCTACATAAGACTTAAAAATAACAAAAATTGGGACTTAGATGTGGAGAGATGTGGGAAAGAACAGTTTTGTGAGGGAAGAAACTCTTATCCATGAAAAATGTACTAAAACCGAATTAAAAGCTCCCATAGTATACTAGGAAAGGATGGATGCAAGACTCATTAACTCAAAGTCTGATGCTCTTGAAGGAAGAAATCTTTCTGATGACACTGAACGCAAGCTGCTTGAGATTTCCTCTTAGTTCTGTAAGGAAAACTTGACAAATATCTCTACAAACCCCAAATGATTATCAGATTGATATTTCCTAATCACACACCAATGGTAATACATGAAGTTTTCAGACAAAAACCAAGAAAGGTCATAACCCAAAATTGAGGAAAGAAGAAAAAAAAAAACTGGCACAAAATATGTGAAAGTCCTAGATGTCAGTCACAGCTGCTTTCTTTGCTGCAACTCTCCTGTACAGTGATTTTCAAACATTGTGGCAAGACACCTACGATCACCTAACCAGATAACACAAAGTATTTATTTCAAATTTCTAGGGGGTTAAGAAAAAGTCAGATACTGATGCTTTATGCATGCTCAGGGCCTGTTTATAAATACTCCATTCAGTAATATCTTAACACAAATTTGCATCTGTGAAAAGAAATTGGCAAATTCCCATCCCTTGCCATTCTATTTGTCAGATGGTGAAGACCAAAACAGAATGTTCCATCAGTTTTGATTTTTAAATACGATTGTCACATTGGGAAAATGAAATAAACACTGTAAAATAAACTGTACAAAGGCAAAGTAGAATAACAAAAAATATTTTACTAAAACATAAGATTTACAGAAGTTTCCAGACAAGCCATACAAAATGGTCACAAGCTTTTTTTTGAAGGGCAGAATCTACACTTGACAGCAAAGTCACAATGTTATTAGTGAGGGCTGTGATGTTTGTTAATGTTCCCATTTTGGTTCAATCAGCTTGTCCATCTATATCGTCTAAATAAAGTTAGACTTGGCTAGAGAGCGTATTCTAGAAAATTGGTTAGCTGCTTTTTAACCAATGCAATTAGATCACCATAAAAGGGGGGAAAAGGAGTCCATAAAATGTTGAAACTGCTTTTCCCCTCAAAAAATAAAATAAAGAACACCCATACCCCTGCAGCTAACCCTGACAACTACCTTCATTCACAGTGCTTTATACTTAAACCATGATGGGGGAAATGCATAAAAGCAGAGGGCCACTGCTTTTAAACATTTCACGACAA